CACCTCCGTTAATGGAGTATTAATTGAGCCATCCCCCTCGGTTAATGCATTAACGGAGGCGGTGCTGCTATGGCTACCGCCTCCATTGAAGTAGTCTTCTTTGTTTATGGCTACCGCCTCCGTTGAAGTAGTCTTCTTTGTTTGAAAAATATGCTACCAATTACTTTGAGTTCTGCACTTGTACAAGCACTTTCCAAATGACCATGGCAAATGCAGGGTCTATTTTGTTTCACCGTGTGTGTGTGCAGGTCTAAACTATCTCCGCGTTTCATTTTCAACCTTCGAGACTAGATGCATGAATTCAATATGCTAGATTCTGATTCCGCTATATTGACCAGGCACTGTAATTCATGAGACTTCACCGGCTAGAAATTTGTGGCTCCGCCCCCTTAACGCTGAAGCATGTGTTTGGTTCTGGGATCAGAAGGGATGGGTTGAACCCAACACTGTTTTTAGGGATGGGTTGGACCCATTTCTTGTTTGGCTAGGAAGTTGGGTTCATCCTATGTATTTTATTTGGTTGAAGCGCTAGGTCCAGATGGGTTGGACACCAAACACATGGGGCCCGCATGTCATCCTCTCACCCTTTCTTCCTCATTGTGTTCCTCCTTCCCTTTCGATGTGCTCACGCGGACGCCGCTCCCCGTGCCCGCGCTCGTGCCCGCGCCCAATGGAGATGCAGCGGCCGCCGCCGAGCGAGCTACAGATGCGACCGTCGCCACCGAGCGAGCACCTCACGTGGGCGCAAATACGGCAGCCGCCGCCGAGCGAGCTACTCTCCCTCCATGCCCGAGCAACTCTCCCTCCCCAGCCGTGGCCCGACGAGCCTATCCCCTCTCCCCTAGAACCGAGCGTGTTGTTGCCTCGTCACCGCCGACGCTGCTCGTTCACGCTACTCCCCGTGTTCGCATTGCTCGTTCGTGCCCATGAGGCCATGGGTGGGTTTCTCCATGCTCGTGAGGTTGTCGGCGCTGCTCCCTCGCTGCCGCGTGCGGCCGCCCCACTGCCTATATGGACTCGAGGGAGAAGCGAGCGCTCGATGTGGGTCGACCTCGTCATTTTGTGGTGCCAGGGCAACCTGCATCTACAGGGAATATGCCCTCCTAGGTTCGACCCACATCCCAGGAACTCCCATCCAAACTCCTAGAAAACTAGGTCCAACCCACTCCGATCCAATTAGTACTTCCATTCAAACACGTGCTGAAAAGATCAAGATGCCCAAGACGGGGATGAATTGGGCTAATCTAAAATTTCTCACAACAATTAAGTCCTACCGCTTAGCCCATTTCACCCCTAATGCCTAATAGTGTTCTCTATTTGGTCTACCGCACAAAAGTTTTGCACCCTAGGTTCTAATCCTACTCTAGCATGGCAGATCTAAGAATGTAAAGACAAGAATTGAAATGCTTGAAAGTAAATGCTCAAAGCAAAGAGAGGGAGAGGAACGCGGCGATGTTTTGCCGAGAAATCAGAGAGTCGCCACTCCCCACTAGTCCTTGTTAGAGCACCCGCGCAATGGTATAGCTCCTCCTTGATCCGCGCAAGGATCAAGTGCTCTCTACGGGCTGATTCTTCGACACACCATCGTGGTGAATCACCCACAACCGCTCATAAAGCGACTTGGGTCATCCACAAGCTCCGCCAAATGATCACCAAGCTTCCAATAACCATCGAGTCGTCTAGGTGATGGTGATCACCAAGAGTAACAAGCACAAACTCTTACTTGACCATGACAAGCCTAATGAGAAAGGTGGATGCACACTTGCTACTCCCTATGCACCAATGAGGTCTTTAATCTTGGATTAACAAATCTCAACCACCTCACTAGGCTCTTGCTCTCCCTTGCACTCCAAAGTGTTTCCTCAGCTGAACAAATGGGCAAGAGAGATGAATTGGATGAGTTGGAGATGTATTTATACACCCCACCCCCAAACATACCTATTGGGGTCCATGTCAGCATAATTCGTATGCACCGGACGCGCCAGTCAGAGTAACCGGACGCGTCCGGCCAAGGCTCAACGACTCACCGTGGACGCCAAATTGTTAGATAGAGTCATAGAGTGACCGGACTCGGTCAGGGTCCGGTCGTCCGGTCAGAGAAAAGGCTCTCTTGACCACACTGTTATACGACTGGACTCACTGACTTCCACGGTCTGGTCAACGTCCTTCAGCGTCCGGTCTACCCTGAGCTTTTCGCCTAACCAGCTACAGTGGTACCAGCATGTCCGGTCAGCGCCCTACGCCAGCGTTCGGTCATCACCAAACCCTGTTGTGTAGCTAGATGAACTGACCGGACTCTACACCGTAGCGTCCGGTCCAAGCCTCCACAGCGTCCGGTCCATCTTTCACACTTCAAATCACTTCTAATTCAAAATTCTTTGTGAATGAAGTTGACTCTAATTGATCCTTGGGCTGTCCCTGAGCTACCTATAGCTAAGTTTGATAAGTGTGCACCACACCTAACACATTAGACTCACCTAGATCAAGCTACTAGTTCATACCCCCCTTAATAGTATGGTCAAAGGAAAAACAAAGTCCTAAACTACTCTAAGTGTCTCTCAACGCCAAACGACACTTAGAACTAGTTCGTCCTTAACATTATCGTTCATCCTTTGAAAACCGAAACGATTTCCATTGATAGGGGCATAAAAACCATTGATTGCCCAAACAATCACCATTATCGTGACCTAACTCCAATTGCCTCTATAAAACACATGTTAGTCACAATAATCTTATGTCGTCATTAATCACCGAAACCCACTAGGAGCCTAGATACTTTCACATGTGAAATGTTGGGGTTCAGAGACTGATTGGTTTTTCTCTTGATGCTCGTTAGATGCTCGGCTTTTAGAATATTCTCATCCAACTAGTATAGTTCCAATGTTTATTGAAGTCGTTTGATTGGGGATAGTTTCAGTGGCAGATACATTCCATAGGAGTAGGGAACTTCATCAATGGAGACGTCCAAGAAGTAGTCGACATGCGCCATGTATTAGCGGCTACGTCTCTTCTTGCCATCATCTCTGCATTCATCCGTTGTTGGTGGCTCCCGCCAGGTGGCGGCAAAATATTTAGTCTTGTGAACAAACTCCTTTTAAAACGTTTTTTGTCTTTTTTTAGAATTACACAGTACATGCCCACGACAGGCACGCACACTCACCCTTTCTCATCCAACTAGTATAGTTCCAATGTTTATTGAAGTCGCTTGATTGGGGATAGTTTCAAAGGGTGATATACGCTCCATAGGAGTAGGGAACTTCATCAGCTGGAGACGCCCAAGTAGTCGGAAGGTGCCATGTATTAGTGGTTATGTCTCTTCTCGCCATCATCTCTGCATTCATCCGTTGTTGGTGGTTGTCGTCGGGTGGCAGCAGAATATTTAGTCTTGTAAACAGACTCCTTTTAAAATGTTTTTTGTGTGACTTTTTTTAGAATTACACGGTACAACACATACGTCCACAATAGTCACGCACACTTACCCTTATGAATACACGTACACAAACACTACCCCTATGAGCACATCCAAAGGACTAAGCAAGCAGATCTCGCGATTCACAAAGTCACCACTAGCGCCTCGTTGTCGATATGGACGTCGCCTACCACTGAAAGCATAGCGCCGTTAAATCCTGGAATAAATCCAGGAAAATACGAGCACCCGTGCCAAGTCGAGGACTTAAAGCCGGTTGGATAGGTTCCACTACAAGGAACCTAACCAACTGATCTATGATCAGTTTGCTTTTTTTTTACTCCTTTTAAAACATTGTTCCAAGCGTTGGTATCGAAATAAGTTACATTTCTAGACAAAAGAAAACGAATGAGTTGCGGCCCACAATAGGTTAAAAAGGCTGAGAATCAAAGCATTATCTATCACTGGAGTTTTCTCCTACCACATACTCCATCTGTCCCTAAATAACTGTCGCTATTATATTTGTGTCGGTCAAAGTTTTTGACTAGGTTCCGCCAAGTGCAACAATGCAAAAACGGCTTCTGAAGGTAAAGCTAAAAAAATAAAATTATTTTGGCCTAAAAGCCGAAGCCAAAAAAATGGTTAATGGTTTTTTCTGGTTTTATCATTTGGAGAAGCTAAAAAAATTATGTACCACAGAGCCTCTCTTATAATGTCTAAAAACAGTAAAAGGCACTGCAGTTTGCCTACACAAAAAGAGACACCAATGACAATTGGGAAAAAAATTGGATGAAAATTGTATCCATCGTGGCTCCCTGCATACATGCTACAAATAGTTGCCATATGTCCAGTCTCACAGATCCAACGGTGCGCCTATAAGAGTTCCTCGCAGACCCCGCATACTCCGATTGTGGTCTCCCACACCGTTGCTTTTCCAACACCGCCATGTGCCGTTGGATTTGTAAGAATGAACCCGTGGCTACTATTTATAGCACGTATGCAGGGAGGCACGGTGGATATAGTTTTCACCCAATTTTTTTTCCCAGCTATTGACAATGCAAACAAAGGTCCATGTTGGCGAGAAGTGCGCAACAGAAACTAGTTAGGCGATTGATTGAAAATGGAAAAAGTATCTATCTTTTCCATGTACAAACAACGCAAACGAGGGGCGCAGTAGTTGGAACCACAACCACCGCTGGCATCAAAAGCTAACTTGCACATATTCCGGCGGCTATGGTTCGATGCTCATACGGCGTATCAAAGTCCACCAAATGTCATAAAATGTATAAAAATGATTTAGAAACTTTTCGGTACATTATTATTGCTATTCTTGGCAGTGCCTAAGAACACTGGCTGAAAAACGATTGCTGTTCAAAAGTCAAAACGATTGCAAAAGGTCCTAACGGATAAACGGGTACAACCAGCAACTATCTAGTCTATCCAGATTACATCCTTTGTACGGGTGTACACCACTCATACTTACATGAACATCCAACCAAACAAAAAAGGAATGGGAAAAAAAAACCACCCAACAACGGACGCTCGTCAGGTTGACCACAGCTACAGAAGAAAACCAGCTGAATTTTACAATGTCCTATCTCGGCCTCCATGCCATACCACCCGCGTTGCTAGAGTCGTAGCCCTGGACGCCAGTACTGCCAGGCACTACACCATACTGGGGTTGCTGTACAATGTTAGTCACCTGTGCGGCAGCGGCAGCAACGCCCTGCGCCGGCCACCAAGCATTACTAGGCTGCTGCTGCCATGCCTGGCCAGGCTGCTGGGTCCGGAGGTAAGCATGGGGCAGCGAAGTGATGGGAACCTGAGGCTGCACTGCACTTGGGATGTGGTACTGCTGCTGGTAGGCGTTCATCTGCTGGACGGGAGGTGGAGGCAACGGCAGTTGCTGTGGGGCGTGAGGCAGTGGCAGCTGCTTAATCGTCTGGTGGGCGGCCTGGCTGGGGTTCCACTCGGGTATGTCATCGTCATCGTCATCCCAGGAACGGGGGGCTTGAACAGATGATCTTTTCCCATACTTCTGAACCAGTTCCCTCATTTGCTCTGCTGGGCGAGCAGAGGGGGGTGCTACATGTGGCCGGCCCTTGTAGGCATGCGCAGTTACATTAGCAGCATGGTGTGACGAATTAACAAAATTAAATTCAGGAAGATCGTCCTCATCCCTAGCAACACCAGGTCCAAAGCCCGGAGGGACATCATCAGTTACATCTTCCTCTTCGCGGCGGCGCTGGTTGGGAAACCCTGGTGGTGCACCATATGAGTTGAGAGGTAGGGAGGGCCTTGCGGCCGGATTCATGACCTGTGGTTTCCCTAGGATCGACTGCCTCTTGGAACCATCATGTCTGTGGTGGGAGCCGTGGGAGGTGGGTACCCTAGGGATGTTGGGCCTCCGCCATACCACGACTCCAATGAAGGATGATTCTGCCACAGCAAGGCTCTCCTGGTGCTCCTTTGGCAAGTACCGTGAGAGGATTTCCACGGTTTTCCCATGAGAAGGGCACAGGTACAGCTCTATTCCTTCTGCAGGCTCAGCTAATCCTACTCTCTCATCTGAAATATATGCATCGATAGTCTGCACAACAAGAAGCAAATTTAGTATATCCAATCCTCTATATTCTAATAAGATTGCTCCAACAGTGGTGAGTGGCAAAAGGTAGAATGTAACCTGCAAGATATGTTACGGCCACTCTCCGATGAACCCTCCTTCCAACACAGCTCAGTTATCTATCAAAATAGTTACCAGGTAGTTAAATTGATGAAATAGATAACCAACAGCTAACCTAAGGCAGAGTGCCCACACATATTGTAAAACACAACACTTAAATTGACTCCAGGATGAACGATAATCTGAAATAACTATTCACATCTTCTAGGACTCCATGAATATTCTGGCTAACAAAGCCAAATGACATTACATAACATGATGTAGGCCCAGGTATTAAGGTCCTGGCAATTGCTTACAATTCCTACAGGATTCAAAAGTTCAAACAGGGTACACATTGTGCCATTTGCATATAGGTGCTAACACAAACCTGACATGCAATGATGTGGTTTTGTTTTTAGCACATGATTATGCCACTAAGCTAAGTTCAACCATTGTGCAATCTCAAATATCAAATAAGCACTTGCGCTCCAAATCAGAATATATATAATCATATATACTACTTTGCATCATGGCAACAATATCCACGAGGTAATTAGACACAAAGATAAGATATTTTCACCAGACTCAACATATTAAACCTGTCACAAAGGGAATACATAAACAGACTACAGTAAGAAAAAGAATTACCATTATAGCACGGCTTCTAGATTTGGGAAGCTGCTCGACAAAATCTTGAAAAGCACTAAGTTTAACTCTTCCCTTAATCTCAACGAAACGACGCCAATCTTTTAATGATGGCTTTTCACCACTGAAAAGTTCAAATTTTAAGACATGTTAGCTGCTGTCCAAATAGAACAAATACATTCAGCCATTTACACATTTCCATGCACTCAATAGTTTGCAGGCAATTAATAATATTCACACTGATAGTACAAAAATCATATACAAAGTAACAAATATTTAGCACAACAAAACAACACAACCTGCATTCATTTTTAACTTAAAACCAGTTTACATATCCATGGCATATAAAAACTACTACTAGGGTGAGCACAATGATAATAATTTATTAATTTAAAATATTTGCAATTGCACTTACTTTTCTTCAAAAGAGTTAGTAATACCAATATTGGGTGTATCAATGGGTTGGAATAATGTGGAAACAGTATAACCCTCTACTAGAATTAGCACAGACTGGCATATCTACCAAGTTCACACAAGGCTGTGGAAAAATAGCCCAAAGTAGAATGTCCAGGGGTACATAAACAAAAGAATGCAGCAAGTCAAAGCAAATAACATGTTAAAGAGTTATTGACATTATGAGTGACTCTTAGCTGCTGAAATGTAAAGCTCCATTTCCGTTGGTTGCACTACAAAAATGTAGCTTAACTTCCATTTATAAAGTGGTGCATTTGCATAACTTTAAACAGAAGGACCATGACATGAGCATTTGTGTACAAGGGTTTTTTTTCCTAAATAAGAGATGTTACTCAAAAGTTCTATTCTAAACTTAATAATGACCTAATAATGGCCTTAATAGGGCCACGAGAACGTCAAGATGAATAGCAGAACATCAATTTGATTTGAAAGTGCAGAAGATATGAAATGCAAAGGAGAATGGATTAGATCAACATTACGTACAAATGACAATAGTCATAAAAAACAAAACGCTCAGACGGACACATACCTTTTGAAAATAGCAACAACATTAGAGAGTGAAGACACTGTTAGTTGAATTGCACCTTCCCATATGCTCTCACGTATCATAGGGATACTGGCAGCCTGACTGTGATGAACAGAATCAGGATTAGAGACATTATCAATAGTTGTTTTCTTGGCTTCACCTTTGCCAGGGGAGGGGGAGGATTTGTTCAGCTCTCCATCACGTGGTTCAGTAAGATCCGAATTTGGAACCGCTGTATGTCCTGGTGACTCTAACTTGGGCTCGCTGTTAACCTGTGCAGATGACTTATCAGATTCAGATTCAGTTTTCTCTGGTGCAGATGCATTATCTTCTGTCTCTGGAAGATCCTCAGGCTCCATGGTGGTGTCAGGTTCCTCAGAGTCATTGACATCTTCTTGAGGAGTCCCAACTGAGAGATCAACAAAAGGTGGCTCGGAATCTAAGCCCTGCATGAATTCATCTAACGAAGGAATAGGTGGGAGATTTACGGTGTCCTTCATGTCATCCAAAATAAGTTCTTGCATGAGATCAGCTTTCTCATTATCAATATACTCTACATCACCTGGCATATCATTGTTGCATGTTCTGCCATCCTCATCTTGTGAAGTGCTATCAGATGCTTTGTCTTTTTCTTGAACATCTTTACTATCTGTTCCATTAGACTTGGTCTGATCTTCAACAGCTTTTGAAGGAATATTAGTAAGATTACTCCCAAGTTCAACCTCCACTGAGAAACCATCTGGTTCTTCGACTTCAACTTGGAACTCTCCTTTGTGTGAGTTTTTCTAACCAAACGCCTAGGGTCAACCTCCCTATTCGAAGGACAACCATCTGTGCAAACTCCTCAGCTTTAGCCAACCGCCACTCTGAGAGTTCTTTGGAGGCAAGTTCTTCTGCAGTCATTGAACAAAGGCGTTCAGGCGCAATATCTCCAGACAAGACCCTCTCTCTTAGCTCAGGGTTGCTTTTGTCTTTCAAATTAAACAAAAGAGATCTGCCCTTTTCCTTGTACTTCTTATTTACTCCACCAAACAATTTGAACAGCTCCTCTTCAATTCTAAACGCCAAACTTTCAGCCCTTTGATTAAATTTCTCCTTATCCATTGCTAACTCATTGGCAGACTTTATTCTTTTTGACTCAGACTCCACATCAGAAGTTCATGCGGCCTTTTTAAATCATTAGGTTCTGCGTTAGGTTCAGAGATCCCAGCATCAAGATCAGAAACCCAACTAAGCCCATGATCTTGCAAAAGTTCATCTGCAACCATACACTGACCCAATAAGTCATCTTCTGAAGAAACTTGATTTGACTGTTGCTGCATGTCATCATTTATGCTCGTCATCATCTCTGGAGCTAAATCACTGCTTAACTTCTCATTTTCCTCACATCTACTGGGAGCTACAGTTGTGGCTATACCTGAATTGGCTACATCTTTTGATGGGGTTGCCACTAAATCCTGTTCCACATCTCCAGCTGCTGGTTTGAAATTATCTGTAGACCCATCAGAATGCACATTATTAGGAGACTGACTCTTATTCTGCTGATCCGAATCCAAACTCAGTGTAGCAACAAGTGACTCCCTGAACTTGGACCTCACAGATTCAAATTGCTGATGCTGGACCTTTGATGGTGGCTCCTTCTGTGCAGACCGCTTATTAGATGACTGGAACGATGGAGATTTCAGCATTTGAACCTTTGGAGAAGCAATTGTCTGTTGTGATTTCCTGCCTGCCATAGATGGTGAGGGTTGTGATCCAGCCATTGCTGGCAAAGATGTTTGAATATTTAGCACCTGCTGGGGTGGCCTCAATGATACCCTACTTAGCAAAGGTTGTGCCCCCAAAGGACATGAAACTTCTGGCCCAGAAGCACCTAGTTGGACTGATTGCTGACTCATGGGGACAATATAATATGAGCTAACTGGTACTGAGGTTCCCATAGAGAACATCTGCTGTGAACTCCAGTCACCAGGCAATGATGATGGATAAAACAAAGATGGATGCTCTGTTTGATTAGATTGGACATTTGAAGAGGGTAGCGGTTGTGATCCGATGTTGTTTGGCATGGGTGCCTGCCCTTGCTTTGAGAACTCCATTATGCCAGTAACTTCCCAAAATTCTTGGCACAAATAGCAGTGTTATTTACCTCGACTTCAAATGCAGATATCTGAAAATGAGTCAAATAAGTGGAGGCACGTTAGATTCATGAAACAAAGAGAGAGAGTAAACACTGAGTATCTGCATCACAACTGTCTGAAGTGCATAGGTCAAATTATTTAAGATTTTTAACTAGATCCTTGTCCAAACAACCCCTAACTAGGAAATCGAAAGCACTCTTCTATGACAAAACGTGGCATATAGTGTGAACCGCAGAAGGCGATATAGTGGACCATTGCAATTACTAAAAGACGAACACGAGCAATGCAGTCTGTTTAATGGTAAAACCATTCCATGAAACCAAACGTCACTTAGAGAGCTACTGTGCTAAGATGACAGCATGTACTACAAAAGCATCGTGCAGTACTTTCGACCTAAACTGAATAGAGGAAGGATACTGGATGTTCTGATAGCTACCCATAGCTAGCGGAAAAGAAATGTGACTCTGGTTCGTTTCTTCTGATAACAAGGATCGATCTCTCCACAGCCTAACACAGTAAAAAAATTGCATCTAGAACATCTCCAGCATAGCAAACACGCTGAATCTACGCTCCCAGTCCACGAATGACCCAAAATATTCAATAAATAGCCGAAAACATCAACAAAGAGCATCTGCTCAACAACACGAGCCGAACCACCGCATGACTTGAGCGCCGCGCGCCAGGTTGCAAAACGGGTGTCCTCACATCCACTCTAGCACGGAACATAGACACGCGCTGAAGACGAATTTCACGAGACATGGGAGCCCAAGGCGAAATCTCCCCCTAAATCCCCCGAGCCCAATCCCGAACGCTCATCCAACGAAAAATTCCCCAGCTCCACGCATCCAACCGCGAAACAGAGTATCACACGGAGGTATACACGCAACAGAACCTGCGAGCACCGATCGTGCGCAAACGGGATTTGTTTGGTAGGATAGGCATTCACCATACCTCGAGGGAAGCCGTGGGGTGGGCCGGTGGCGGCTGCCCGCGGCGAGCCCAGCGCTCGGCGGCACCAGCCGGTAAGCCCCGTGGCGGCGGCGGCGGCGGCGGCGGCGGCGCCGATGGGGACCGGGAGGTGGGCGATTTGGGGGTTTAGGGTTAGCGATGTGAGCAGGTGTCGTTGATTTATTTTTCCATTTGCTTGTGGGTGGATGAGACGGGCGAGCATGTCTGTCTATCCGCATCCTGCTGGCTGCTGCGCGCAAACAGCGTGCGCCGAGCGGCACGATCTCTGAAGCAGCCAGGCGGTTTATCCTTTTTGGGGGCATTAGGGCAGTCCCAATGCAGACTTCACCATGGAGTCTATCTCAATTAATTGCAGTGCCACGTAAGCATTTTACTGACATGACAAGTAATTTAATGAAGAAAGAGAGTAAAAAAACAAGAAACGAAGTCTAATTTCGACTTCGAGTCGTCGTCCGCATCGAGGCGGTGGACTCCGCTTCGACCTCGCGATGGGTGGAGGAGGATCGAGTCCTCAGATCCCGTACGCGCATGCCGCCGCCAACGCAGTCATCCCGCGCGCAAGGCCTCTCCCGCGCGCGCCAAGGCCTCTCCCGCGCGCCAGCCCTCTCCCGCCCGCGAGCTCCTCCAGTTTTCTCGTGCGCGCCAACATCGCAGCGCGCCAAATCGCCATCGCCGCCCACCATCTTCCGCGCCAAATCTCCATCCCGCGAGCTCAAGGGAAGACAAATCGAGCGCCCCCAAACTCCACACCACACCGGTAGGCATCCCTCGCCCAGTTGCCCATGACCTAGCATCCCTCTCCTCCCAACAGCGAAATCCCAAATCCATACCCAAATCTCGATTCAGGATGAACAAACTAACGAAGTCCAATTCCCGGCGAGGTAGTGGTGTCCGTGGAACCCGATCTCCCTCTGTTCCGGTTGCAGGTGGTTCTGCAACTCGGAGCCATGCCACTGGCGGCGTTGCAAGAGCGGGTGCTGCGGTGGATACTGAATGGTAAAGCAAAAATTTCCCTCGAGAGTACATAGGAGGGTTAATTAAGCTGATCATGGCATACTGTTGCAGGTTATACCCACTAGGAGGGTTCTCAAATTTTCTGCAGTCCAACACATTTGCTAACCATCCAAATGGAAATAAAAATTTTCACTTTGTTGGTGCTGGAATGAGTCAGTCTTCACCAATTGACCTAGGTAGTACAAGAACTCCCTCTCCAGCAGAGCAAACTCATGAACAAGGTGATGATTTAGATGTGCAAGAAGATGAAACAATTAACGTCGATGATGATTCTAGAACCGAGAAGCGTCTGAATTGGAAGGTCCCTGATGACATAAGATTGGTAGGTTGAAACCAAGCTATCTCCATTCACACTAGAAGACTAACAGTTGCCTTTTTTTTATTTATGATCTGTTTTGTTGTTTCTGTAGGCCTCTGCTTGGTTGCGTTGTTCGAAGGACCCAGTAGATGGAAATGACAAGAAGTCAGATGCTTATTGGCAAGATGTTACCAACGAATACAACAAGACCGCAGAAAGTGGCCGTAAGAGGAACAAAAACCAACTGAAAATACGTTGGGATCGTTCTAAGAAGCCATTAACGGATTTTCATGGAGTTTGGATTAATGCCAGTAGAGTGTGGCAAAGTGGGATGAGTGATGATCAATTGATTGATAAAGCATTAGAGCAGTGGGCCGGCCAAAATGATGGTAAGGCCTTCCATCTGCAGCATATGTGGAAGGTACTACGTGGTCAACAGAAGTGGTCAGCGTATCTTGCTAGGTTAAAGAAGCAACAGGAAAAGAGTCCGAAGGCTAATGGAGCTCATTTGGTGAATTTGGAATTAGATGGAGAAAAGCGGCCTCCGGGACATAAGAAAGCAAAAAAAGAACAAAATGGCAAAAAGAATTCATCTGATGCTTTGGCTGAATTTAGTCGACAGTTTGAGAAGTTCATTGAAGCAACCAAGAAGAGCAAGGAAGACAGAGAAAAGATGGCTGAAATTCAGCAAAGCTTGGCTGATAAGAAGATTGAAGCAGGTAGACTTAACAGTGAAGCCGCTCATGAACAAACTAAGGGTAAAATGCTAGAAACTTACACACAGCTGCTGCTTGCACCTACTGATCAGCTTAGTGAAGATGCTAAGGCTGAGAGAAAATTGGCACTGGAGAGCCTGAGACTTGCTTTGTTTCCTAAGGAGTGAAAGCTTGTATAATCCTCCACAATATGATAATCGAGGATGAGAAGGATATAGAGGACGATGCTTTTGACTTGAACGAGGAAGGAACCACATCTACTGCTCAGCCATCTACAATCACTCAAGCACACGATCCTGCGATGGAGGAGGTACTACAGAGAACTACCGAGATTCGTGACCGTGATGCTCACAGGCAACTACAATCTGATTTGATTGATCACATTTGGCAAAAATTTGGCCATCGAACTAATTAGGTAGAAATGAGTTTATATATATTCTATGATACTTTGCTTTGGCTATGTTACAATAGTTCTGATATTGTACTCTCTATCTAATTTTCTTATAATAAAGTTCTTTATTTACTAACTCATCTTATTTTTCTAGGTTGATGATGAAGACATGAAACTATTGAGGGCTTCTTTCTGGAGGGTCGGTGGCTTAAAAATGGAGGATGCTGGACTGTTTTCTGAAGGATGGAAGACGTCTGAAGCAACAACTCAAGATTATCTATATATTTTAGTGTTACTATCTATATTTATATTCTTGCAGTAATGGACCGATCCTAGCTATTATCTAAACTTCATGGTTGCTGGTTGATCGAATATGCAGTACTGTATCTATATGTAGTATGGTTTCATGTCTTTTGAATGATTGAAGCGATACAGTACTATATCTATATGTGTTGTGTTCATTTGCCGGTGCTTGAATTGGGAGCTTCAGTTGCCGGCCTTTTTTTTTTTTGAAAGGCAATTGCTGCTGTGATCGTTATATGATATATGGATGTAGCATGGCTGCTGTATGCCACAGGGTGGATCACATGTAGTATGCCATAGCTAATCATCTTGGTTTGTGCTGCCTAATAAATGTTTTTGTCTATAGAAACTACTATTATGAACTTTGCATTGGGGAGCATAGAGTCTAGTGATGGAGTCTTTGAAGTTTAGACTCTATGAGTGGAGTCTGCATTGGGACTGCCCTTATTACAGTATATGATATATGATAGCTGGGCCTTCACCGTTCGGCCTTTTGGGCTACATGCCTAAGTGGTGATTAAAGACTTCCATGCTACTCTTCTCCCATTTCTCATGTATCCTTTTTCTTCCTTGCGTTTATATGCATTTATCGGTGTTTATTACCTTCGTCCAGTGACCATGTAGAAAAAGTACAGAAATACTATACAACACATGTATATTTTAGCACAAAAAAAATACATGGATTTTTTTTATCTCTCTCCCTCTCTCTTTCTCACCGGTGACCAAAAGAAACTGCAACTCGCGTCCGTACTCTCCGCCAAAGACACCGGCGAGCAGGCCGCATACAGTTGGCTCGGCAGCATCGCGCTCCAACACCTCGAGCTCCTCGGCCCCTTGTGTCCCCAACGCCATGGCGTGCGCGTGCTGGCTGACGCCCGAGGTACACCACGTATGATGACAGCTCGCCGGACGCCGGCCGCAGCAACGAGCAAGAGCGAGCGCCGAGCTGCCGAGAACATGAGGGCGGTGAGGACGGGCGCTATCAACGCTCAGATAAGATGGGCCAACGCCATGAGGGCGGGCAACCTGGGCGCCAACGGCGGCTACCTGCAGTGACCGCGACCTGTGGCGGTGGTGGCGGTGGATCTGTGATTTGTCCTTCCATAAAAAAGAATTATTTCCTATGATCTGTGATCTTGTGATTGTCTGAAGGTAGAAGAAGGCTGGAGGTAGAAGAAGGGTGGAGGCTGTTGGATCTTAATCTTATGGTGAAAAAAAATCATGTGTTAAAATTACGTAAAACACATGGTTGTGTAGTAGAAGCCTA